TCCTGAGGATTTGTTTCCTCCCAAGCACAGCCCTCAGTCCGGTGACCCTGCTGCCAGTTGTGGATCTGGACACGGCCTCGCATGATTGTGTGGGGATCTTGAGTCAAGTACATGGACTCAGAAAAGACCTGACTGATCAGCCACTTCCTGATGCAGAAGCCACTTGGTTTATTGAAGGCAGCAGTTTCATGCAGAATGGACAGAGGTACACAGGGGCAGTGGTACTAACAGAGACTGAAACTGTCTGGTTGGCACATCTACCTCGGGGGACTTCAGGCCAGAGGACTGAGCTGATAGCCTTGACTGAGGCTATTAAATTAGGCAAGGACAAAAATTCGAATGTGTATACCAATAGCTGGTATGCCTTTGCCACAGCCCATGTACATGTGGCCATCTACCAGGAGACTGCTCACAGCTAAGGGAAAGACTCTTAAAAATAAATAAGAAACCCTAGACTTACTGGCTGCCCTATGGCTACTCAAGAACCTGGCTATCATTCATTGATAGAAGACAGTATGTCTATACATCAGAAGACAGATATCTTTTAGTTCTGGTAGATACTTTTTCAGGATGGACTGAGGCGTACCCTACCAAGCATGAAACTGCACAAATGGTCAGCAAACGGCTACTGGAAGACATTCTTCCAAGGTACGGTATGCTGGATCTTCTGAGCTCAGACAATAGACCAGCATTCACCTCACAGGTAACATAAGAGTTAGTGAAAGCATTGGGGGCAAAATGGAAATTACATTGTGTCTACCAGCCCGAGAGTTCTGGACAGGTAGAGAGGATGAATAGAACCCTAAAAGAGACCCTTACTAAATTATCCATGGAGACTGGTGGGGACTGGGTGGCTCTCCTTCCCTTTGCTCTATCTAGGGTGTGAAACTCACCCCGTCTGTTGGGTTTAACTCCATATGTAATCATGTTTTGAAGACCCCTTTCCATCCTGTCCAATTTAAAAGCTGAATTGCTTGCTGAGTTTGATAACCATCATTGATTCTCTTGAGGCTGTAGCACATGCCCAAAAGGACGTGTGGTCCTGCCTGAAAGCTATCTATGAGACTGCTCCTCCTCCTACCCCATACAACTACAGGCCTGGCGATTGGGTCTATGTCTGCAGACACCACCGAGAGACCCTGGAACCTCACTGGGAAGGACTGTACATGGTGCTCCTGACAACCCCGACTGCAGTAAAGATAGAGTTGACACCTGGATTCATCACACCCACGTCCGACTAGCGAATCCACACCCAGACCCAGACTACCTTCGACCTCCGCTGACCTCTATGCCAGATGCTGCAACATGGAAGGTCCACAAGGATGCAGACAACCCTTCAAGCTAAGACTTTATTGATCTTAATGACTTCTATATTGTCCTCTGGCAGCGTTCACCCTGATCTTCCCAACACTCTCTGTCAGGGAAATGTACCAAGGGAAAAAACCAGGTGGTTGGAATGGCCGACTGCCCCCTAGCAGGCTGTCAAGAACCCCTAGACATAGTCCTAATAAGGTTAACTATTGGACCATGTGTCATCTAACTGCCTTCATTAGAGAATGGGTGAGTGCAGTACAACTCATGGTCCTGAGGTCCCATTATCAGCCTGTAGACCGCTTCATTAAAGACCTCAACCCAGACCCATGATTGGGCCATCCCTAGGTACTAGGAGAGGGGGAAATGTAGGACTCAGACTCCTCTAACCACTTCTTTCTGCTTCTGTAATTTGTGTGGCTTAATGATTTAACCCTTGCCATAACTCTAGGGGAGAATGAAGAGTCAAAATGCAAGAGTCAGAATGCCCTGACTCCATTTTGGCTAGCTGTTTCAGGCAAGCCCGGGCAAGCCCAGGCATGTTGTAAATTTCCAGTTACTAGCCTCCCCTCCCCACCAAGCTATAGGTTAAGCAAGCCCGGACATATAAAAGCCTTATAAGGTAAAAACAGAAACTTCTGGCCCCACAGATAACAGTCAGCACATTCCAATGCCTCAAAGACAGTCCCTACCAATAAGAATCCTCCCCGTATTCAGGGCATAGGACCATCCAATCATTTTTAAAGGATGCTTGGCACACGCGGGCTTCTGTGAAACTTCTCTATAAAAGCCTACCCCAAACTAGATTGGGGCTCTCAGTACAGATCCACTGCATTTGTGAAATCTGAGGGCCTTGAGATCTGGGCGTAATATTTGGGGGCTTGTCTGGGATCCCCAAGGACCCCCCCCCAACAGGGGCCCCTGGGGCATTCAGCCTGGTCCGG